TATTCTTTATATGTAATTTAAAAGCAAGCTTTTCTTTATAAAAACTTCAATTGAATTTCAATAAAGTTAAAGGCATGACCTTATCGTTAATATTTTTTAAAAAAAAATAGAGGTTTATATTAAACAGACAATCAAATTAGTCTGGTTTAAGAAGCTTTTACTATTATTATTTCAGTAGAATACTATTTAAGATATAATTTGAACAAATTAATGAATCTACTAACTAACCTGGAGCATGTGTTTGAATGGTTAGGTAGTTTAGGTCAAACACTCGAAACATTGTTGTGTATTTGACAATGTTCTTCATATGACAAGAATTCTCATCTGGGCCTCTATCAACAAGAAAACCCAAATAGGTTTAATCTTATTTTCTATTTTTAACATATCATTCAGACAGCTGTCTTTTACTAATAAATCTAAATCTTGTATATGAGTTGCAGAACTTGTGTCAACTCCATATTAAGAACTAATAAAAATTGAAAATTGGTTATTGCAGAGCATAACATTCATGTTATTAGGACTTATTATTAAATAAACTGATAGTATTAGCTTTTGCTATGCATCTATAAGAAAATCATGTTCAGAGACTGTCACTGGCTCTCTAATTGTTTGTAAAACTCTAAAGGTTCTTCCAACTACTATAATACTAAAAGAAACCTTGGCCTTATTATTTTGCGAAATTATGACTGGAAACTTTGAAAATAAAAATGCATATTGACTAGCCACCTTTACAAAGGCAAGACAATAATGCTTATCTGGATGGACATTGTTGTCAGTTCTAGACACTGATGAGACCATAATGTTAGCAGAATAATGATGGGTCTTGGCTGCTATTGAGTTTGAACAAGAAGGTTGTAGATAATTGTTTATAGTGGATCTGACAATATATTCACTATATATATTTCTAATATCATTCACAAGGTAGTTGACAGTCCTGACTTTTATTATTTTTCTTCTTCTTTTATTTTCTGCAACCCTAAATTCAATACTATCATAAATGCAATTAAGCAAGTTTGGATATGTTTGCAAAAAAGAAGCACTGATTAAAATATTATATTTTGACTTTTAGATAAATATTAGCAAAATAATAAATATTTTTATATTTAGCTTATATTTATTT